GGATGAAATCAAAAGTTTACTGTTGCCAGGTCAAACATCGATGCACCGTCATGATGTCACTGCACGTGTCTTTAAACAAAAATTAAAATCTTTGATGAATTTGATTACACATTACTCGGTATTTGGTGAAACGCGTTGTTGGCTTTACTCTGTTGAATGGCAAAAACGAGGTTTACCTCATGCGCATATTTTAATTTGGTTGGTGGATAAAATACGCGCGGAAGAAATTGACAAAATTATTTCAGCGGAAATTCCAGATCCGAATGTTGATCCAGAATTGTTTAACATTGTTACTACAAATATGATCCATGGTCCATGTGGCACTCTAAACATGATGTCGCCATGTATGGATAATGGAAAATGTACAAAACGTTTTCCAAAACCATGTGAAACTGATACTATCACCAATATGGACAGTTATCCATCTTATCGACGTAGAGACGTAGACAATGGTGGTCAATCATATGAATTGCGTCTGTCAAATGGTGTGAGAGTAGATATTGATAATCGCTGGGTAGTTCCATATTCGCCATTGCTGTGCAAAACCTACAAAGCGCACATCAACGTTGAACTATGCAGTTCGGTGAAGTCTATCAAATACATTTGTAAGTATGTTCACAAGGGTAGTGATAAAGCTATATTTGCTGTTCAAAATGTAAACGACAATGACGAAATAACACGTTATCAAATGGGTCGATACATAAGTAGCAACGAAGCTATTTGGCGCATTTTTACGTTCCCTATACATGAAAGGGATCCTGCTGTTATACATTTGGCTGTGCATCTTGAAAACGGACAGCGTGTTTACTTTACAGAAGAAACTGCACTACAACAGGCTTTGACGGCTCCAAAAACAACTCTTACTGAATTTTTTAACCTTTGTAGTCGACAAGATGCTGTTGGTCAATTCGCAAGGACGTTGATGTACACTGATGTTCCTAAATTTTTTACATTCAATAAACAATCAAAGAATTGGGAACCGCGGAAACGAGGCATTCCAGTCCCAGGATTCGCTGATATATTTATGACAAATACTTTAGGTCGATTATATACAGTTCATCCTAAGCAACGCGAATGTTTTTTTTTGCGTTTATTACTGGTTAACGTCCCTGGACCGACGTCCTTCCAATATTTGCGAAAAGTCAATGGTACTTCATACGACTCTTTCTTCGATGCGTGTCGTGAGTTACATTTATTGGAGGATGATAACCATTGGGATCTCACACTTGCAGATGCAGCACTGAGCTCATCTCCACAACAAATTCGTCAATTATTTTCAATAATATTGACAACGTGTTTTCCGTCTGATGCATCTGCTCTGTGGAACAAATATAAAGACTCAATGAGTGAGGATATTTTGCATCGGACTAGAATTACTAATCAAAATCTTAATATTGAATTCTCCGCCGAAATATACAACGAGTCATTAATAATGATTGAGGATATTTGTATTCTTATTTCAAACATGCCGCTCATCCATTTTGGAATGCCAGCGCCGAATCGCCCAGCAGTAGACATCATCAACAGCGATGTTCAACGTGAACACCAGTTCGATAAGACTTCTTTGGCTACTTTTGTTGCGGAAAATGAACAATTGCTTACTGCTGAACAACGAAATGTATATGATCAAATTAACGTTTCAATTGCAACACAACAAGGTGGATTCTTTTTTTTAGACGCTCCAGGTGGCACTGGTAAAACATTTATTATCGCACTGATACTTGCGCGGATTCGATCTCAAAATCATATTGCATTGGCCATTGCTTCATCAGGCATTGCAGCAACGTTACTTGATGGTGGACGGACTGCGCATTCAGCACTTAAATTACCTTTGAACGTTCATACAAATCCCGAAGCTATGTGTAACATAAAGAAGCATTCAGGCATGGCTGAAGTTTTGAGAAAATGTAAAATTATTATCTGGGATGAATGTACAATGGCCCACAAGCATTCGCTTGAAGCTCTCGACAGGTCCCTGAAAGATATCAAAAATAATGCTCGGCTTTTCGGTGGTGCTCTACTGCTGCTGTCTGGTGATTTCAGACAAACATTACCAGTCATTCCACGCGCGACATATGCAGACGAAATAAACGCATGTTTGAAAGAATCTTATCTATGGTCAAGTGTCACTAAATTATGCCTTACTATTAATATGCGCGTTCGACTTCAAAATGATCCATTAGCGTCAGGATTCTCTGAACAATTGTTAGACATTGGCAACGGAAAAATTCAATTGTATGAAGATACACAATATATTCGACTTCCAGAGAATTTTTGCAACATGGTGGCTACCAAAGATGAGTTAATAACAAGTATCTTTCCAGATTTAAGACATAATTATACTAATCATGAATGGCTGCGAGAGCGAGCTATTTTAGCCGCAAAAAATTTAGATGTTGACGCCATCAATTTTAAAATACAACAGTCATTGCCTGGTGATGAAATTACATTTAAATCGATTGACACTGTTGTTGATCCTGAAGAAGTTGTCAACTATCCTGTAGAGTTTCTAAATTCACTAGATTTACCTGGAATGCCACCACATAATTTGCGACTTAAAATTGGCTCACCTATAATTTTGCTTCGAAATTTAAATGCCCCAAAATTGTGTAATGGCACACGATTAGTTGTAAAAAAAATCATGGGCAACATTCTTGAAGCCACTATTTTGAGTGGAAAATTTCAAGGTGAAGTTGTACTTTTACCACGGATCCCAATGATTCCTTCAGATTCGATTATACCATTCAAACGTTTACAATTTCCAATCCGCTTAGCATATGCTATGACTATAAATAAGTCACAAGGCCAAACAATGACAATTTGTGGCTTAGATTTAGAAAACCCATGTTTTTCTCACGGCCAATTATATGTTGCGTGTTCCAGAGTTGGAAAACCATCGAATTTATTTATTTATACACCTCAGGGTTTAACCAAAAATATTGTACATCCAATGGCATTACGATAAATTAAGTTTTTGTAAATAAAAAAATATATTTTTTAAATAAAATAGTTTGAGTGTAAGCTTTTTTACCTTTAATTAAAAAAAAGTTGAAGATTTCATTACACATACTCACACGCTATCGATTAGTCTAATTGTAATAAATTTACATGTAATGACGTTAGATATTGTCATAACATTTGAATAATAATTTTCATCAAAATGGTCCAGAATGTTTTAGCTTATTAAATAAAGTTTAAAATTTTCAAATTAAAGACGTGTAGACAGGACAACGTCTGTCGGGTCCGCTAGTTAACAATATAAATTTTTATTATTCATTTGGCCAATAAATTATAATGTGGTCAATATAACAATATAAATAATTCAGTATACAGTTGTCCCTTGATAATCCGACAGGTATGGGACCAAAGAGGTGTCGGATTACCAAAATTGATTACATATTTGGCATTGTTTTACTAGCAGTAGTCTACAATATTCCCTACTCCAACTGTTCGAACAGAACTGCTCACGGAAAACACACGAAATGTGTGTCATCGTGTAAGAATTTGAGTGGGGAGATTCACGTCGCGACATGCTTCTGTGCAAGCAGACACGTAACGGGGACGGGTACCTTGACAAGAGGTGCGTCGGACTACTGAGCATGTAGGATTAAAAAACGTCGGACTATCAAGGGACAGCTGTATTTGTAATAGGAATTTATTATTTCAGGGGCTTATATTTCTCGAAGGGTCGCGAGTAGGGGTATGGTTCCTTTGACTTTATTGTTAGTACAGGGGTCTAACAGTTTGGGGGGGTCGCTACCACTTCATTCGGAGGGTAAATCTTACCATTCGGACTTTAACAGAGGTGTAGAGCATATTGATAGGAACAAAAAAGTCTAAGGAATCGTGCCTCATGAAAATTTGTAAAGAACGCCCACTAGGGAGCGTCCCGGGCTACTAGTTTAGTTATAAACGAATCGTTCGAAAAGTCTAACTAAATAAGAATAACGATGACGTCATTCTCGTTTAACTCGTTCGACTTCACGAACGTACCCAGTATATATACAAACGTACACGTATACATACATCTAATGAAAATCATAATTTACCCTAATGGGGATCAGTCTTTCCCCGCACCGCTTTCGCATAACGGGGCTTAGATACAATATTTTTTACAATGACTTATACGTTAAATACAATTATACAAAACATAAAAAATAATAAAATAAAAAATAAATAAATAAATAAAATAAAAAAACCACTGAGCAACTNATAATCCTGTATACTGTTTAAACAGTGGGTACGTTCGTAAAGTCAAACGAGTTAAACGCGTTAGTAACGAATCGTTCGAATAGTAGTAGTCTCACCCAGTGCGCATGCTCTGCAGTGATGACGTTTCGAACGAAACTCTAACGAAGTTCACGAAGGAAAAAGTTAGTTCACTTCGTTAAGAAAATGGCGCCCGACGATATCGATGTTTCTAAATCTACTCGAGTGTTTAAATTGTGAATTAAAAGGTGAAATAATTGAAATAACTGTCCACCAGAAGAAATTTAAGAAAAAATATTTCGGATAAGGCTGTACTAACAACATTCATATCTTCGATTTTAGAAACATCCATCTATATATATAACCCATTCATTTCGTGTCCGTCCCGTAACCGTTTCATAACGGACACTAGAGGCGCCCCTATCGTGTGTTATATTTCAAACATTCAAATTAACAATTTTAATTCTTATTTAAATNGTATGATAATGCGATAAATAACTAATAATTCTGCTCTGCTTTTAAATGGCCTAATCTCTTTCATGTCGTAAATAAAATTGTATAATATTTATTTACATCGAGACATTAGACATCTCATGTTGCATTTGATTAATATTTATCATCATAATTAGGGTTTCTTATTTCCCGGGAAATTAGCCTCCAGCAGGAATACGTTAAAAATAATTTCTTTTCCCGGGATCCCGGGAAATTCCGGAATGAGATAGTTTAATGAAATTTTATATGAATAAAAAAAAGATCACACAGGAATATCATAAATTTGAATAATTTAATTTATTTTCTAGTAAGTAACTAAAAGTGTAGGGCTAATCTTACCCATATGGACATGTTAGGCTCAATTAATTTATGTTCTCCTACATTATAAGATAAAAGTAAAATATAGCGTTTCATTGAGAGTTTTAATGATTACAAAAAAAATACTATTTTATTTCTAAAGGTGAAATAAAAAATAAACTAAAGTGCGATGAGTGATATTTACTTTCATGGGGTGCTCCGCTGCGCAAACACAATACATAGATATTACATGAACTAACATATAGACACTTCTAAAACATAGGTAATAATATGCAGCATGAAACCTCAAAATTTCTCTGTTAGGTGAGTNTTATTTAATAGTTCACAAATCACAATCCTGTATACTGTTTAAACATTATACAGTATATACAAACGTACACGTATACATACATTTAATGGGAATCAGTCTTTTCCCGCACCGCTTTCGCATAACGGGGCTTAGATACAATATTCTTTACAATGACACACTTTAAATGCAATTATACAAAACATAAAAAAACAAAAAAAAACCACTGAGCAACTTGCTCAGGAAAATTAATTACAATTTAACCCGAGTTACTTTGCTCTGTATAATCTTCTTAAAAAAGGTAACAAGCTGCCTATACGTCTGTTTGTTCCTGATTAATTGGTACACACCACAGGGCCAGCGTAACTCTTCTTCCAATACAACTATTTCGATATAATATCTTTCAGATGTCCATTCCAAGCAATCATAAATAAAATGGTCCAAAGTCTCCATCTCCTCTCCACATACACATTCATTTTGTTCATCCAAATAAAACCTGCTCCTATATTCTCCAAGGCCATCGTGTTCCGGAAGACAAATCATAAGTTCACGCTCTCTCCCAAACCACTTAAGATGGGAGAGTCTTTCATCAATATTTGGGAGTAAGTCAAAGGTTTCCTCTCTTTTACACTATTTGTCCAAATCTGTTACCATTTTTCCATAATTTTACTTTTTAATGCCTTCTTTCCCCAGGACTGTGGAATTGTGTTAAACACTTTTTCATTACCAGTGGCTGCTTCTTTGGCCAGAAAATCGGCCCGTTCATTCCCATATATACCGACATGTGCTCTGACCCATTTAAAATAAAACTTCTCTATTAGACCATGTTCTCTGAGTTTTGTCTGAATACTAAAGACCTGCTGATGTTTACATTTACGGTTAGTAAGGGCCTGAAGAGCACTGCGACTATCTGTATTAATACAGATACCTTCTTTCCGTTCATGTTTTATACATTATTCAACAGCTTTGTCTATGGCCAATAACTCAGTTTGATAATTGGAGCAATATGCTTCCAATGTAACTTTGTCACTATAAATTTCTTCATTATGCTCATAAACTACGAAAGCGGCCCCAGTGCCTGAATCAGACCTAGAGCCGTCCGTATATATATCAGTCTTAATTAGGTCATTAGCCAGCAGCCTTACCCTTACACTTTCAGCTGGGTGAGGCAGTTCCTTTACTAAGATATCTCGTTCATAATTATTTAGATCAATTGGAATATCGATCCTGTTATCCTCTCCGCCTTTCTATAGCCAATACCTCTAAGCTCTTTCTTCTATTATTAATTCAAGAGGCGCTTTTCCCGCCAACACCATAAGAGCCTCCGTAGATGTAGTCTTAAAACACCTTGTAAGCTTTAAAAGAGCAGTCCTTTGAACCTGCTTAAGGCACCTCATCTGATTTGTATTTCTGACCTTATTACTCCACACCGAAGCTGAGTAAGTTATTATTGGTATACACTAGGGTTTCTGAAACGGGAATTCGGGATCCCGGGATCCCGGGATCCCGGTTGTTTTTTTAACCCGGGAAATATCCCGGGAAATTTTTCTTATCCCGGGAAATCCCGCAAATTTCTTAAAAATTCACTTTTTTTCTTATTTTGTGTTAAGGTTGAGGAGTTTTGCAAATAGAAAGCATAATTAACTCATTCACTGCCAGAATACATTTGTATTTATTAATTTTAAACCTACCTATTAGTTTTTTTAAATTTTTGCTCGTTATAGCATGTCACAAATGGTCAATAATCAATATATAGCTTATTTGTGGCATGACTATAAAAATTCTTTACTTGTCGGAACCTGTAATATCTGGAATAATTGTGCTTACGCTGTCTTGAGTTTTAACCATGCCCAGTAGCTTCAATAAATGCCTGACGCCAGATTGTGCAAATTGGGCAAGGATACAAACGAGTACAAAGTCTGCAAGTATGAAGTTTTTCTTCATAAACCTGATTATTAAAGCCAAATGAATTGCCGAATTATCGAGCTCTAAGCTTGATGCCGCTATTAAAGCAGCCAAGGTAGACAAATCAAGAATACTAGAGAGCGAAAGAAGTACTACAATCTCGAAAACGAACTCGAAAGCTTCCAGGCTACAGGTGAAAAAACACATAATATCTGTCTTCTCTTAAATGCATTAAACACTATTCCAATCACATCAATTGAATCGGAAAGGGCATTCTCGGTGGCAAGACTTTTCATTACTAAAATAAGAATTAGAGTGAGTTATCGGAGTATTGACCATCTTTGCTTTTTAAAATCTTATAAAAGTTTGCAATATTTTGTATTATATTTTATTTAAAAAACGAAAATTACCTTCTAAATTAGAAGTTGCTTTTTTTTAATTTTTAACTCAATTCAAAAAATTTTTTTTTGTTGTTGTTGTATGCAGTTTCCAGCAAACTTTAATTAATTTTTTTCTATTTGTGAAAATTTCTACGTTATTTAAAGGTAATTTTTATTATAGGCCTATAGACCTAACACAGCATTATTAATATGATTTTGGAGGTTACAAAACTTTAAAATTACTTTAAAAAATGGAAAATAATTATATTATTTGATTTCAAGATATTTTGTATATCTTAAAAATAATTAATTCTATCCCCGGATTTCCCGGGATCCCGGGAAACAGTTCACTTTTATCCCGGGATCCTGGGACAAGCAAAATACCGGGAAATGAGAAACCCTAGTATACACATACCATCGTATATAGCTTCCATTGCTTCTGACTTGAGCCCCCAGGTCCCATAAGCAACCTGGGCCAACTTATTATATTACATTTTTTTAACTGCTTTACATGCATATTCCAGCTCAACCTGTTATCGATAATTACACCCAGGTATTTCATGTTATTCACCACCTCAATCTTCTCATTCCTCACCCTTATAATTGGCGGCCTCTTCTGCAAAGCCGAGGTGAAGTCCTTTGCGAATATCA